CATCTTATTGTCTTCTGAGCTGTTGAAAGATCTATTTAGAAAAACATGCCAAACAGCCCCAAAATTAAACCAGAATTTTTATTATTTTCATTTGCACCCCATGCATTTCTACTAATGCAAATAAAATTGCTCTGGAACCAAACACAGCCTTGAAGAATATCAGTGTATACAGTAATACAGGTGAAAGCAACGCAATTGTAGGATTAAGAGTTAACAATATATTGCAGAAAACACATTAACAAATAACAATACTACATAAATATATTCTGTTTTGATTGGATGTGTGCTGAAAAGTTTAATGAGATGTTACCATCCTTGAAATTATGAGTCTCAGTCCCGTAGATACAAAATCTTAGCTTTCACCATAACAGACGCAAGGAAAATAGTCTCTCGTTACAGTATTAATGGGTGTATGTTCGCAACCATAGAACACTTGTCTTCTATGATCGACAGACAAGAGAGACTCTGATCAGAATCAAACAAAATAAACAGCTGCCTAAAAAGTCGGTGTGTTCGGTTGAAGATTCGGTCTAAAGGCAGAAAGACTGACAATATTCATATACCTTAAGGTTTGAACAGACTTTGGATTTCAGGAGAATGAAATTGAAAGAATGATGTTAGTAATAAAAGAGGAATCAGACGATATGATAAAAGTGTTAATGATCATCAGAACCATGGTGGATCAGATAGGAATGGAGAATACCGAGTAGTGCTTTAGAGTTTTTGGTGTGAAAGGAATGCCAAGATCTGCAAAAATAAAAAGTAACAGGACAACTCATTATGATGAGACTAGCACATCGGATCTAACAAGGAGGAACTTAAGGGGATCACAATGGACTCTATTTTGAGAGGACTGCTCTTCCAAGCAGGATTTGACCCTAGAAAGAAGCAGGTTATTCAAGCTTGGACAGCATAAGAGATTGAAGGGATAAAAATACACTTTGATGGGTGATGCCTTGCTTTTGTTTGGTGATTACTCGTCACCTCTTCTTGATTGTACCTTCTTTCTTAAAGATTAATGCTCAAGAGTGCGAATACAAATATGTTCAGTGCAAAACATTGTATAACCTCATTGCATTTTTTTAAAGAAAGTAACAAATTCCATTTAAAGAGAAAAGAAACAAGGTACATGAGAAGATGTACAACTGCAAACAAGGACTCTCCTAAGAGACTACAAGGGCAGAGAAAAATCACTAAACAAAGGATCTCTATGGACCCTGCCAAAGAATTAAGTTTCCTAGGGATCCATTTACAGTCATCTAGGCCATAATGTCACTTACCTTGTCCAGATAGTTTACCAGTCTCCAAGGGCCATTGTCCTTCTCCCCTAACCATTTTATAATGTCTCTACCCAAACTGAGCCTAAGTTTGGAAAGTACAAATGCAAATATGTACAGTGCAAATACATATAAAATAATACAAAATATAAGGTTTTGCACTCTACATATTTGCATTTGTACTCCTTCCAAACTGAGCCTAATGAATTTATGAATTTTCCTTTTACTTATCTTTAAAAAAAAGGGGTTCTTGCCGATAACGGCAACTTTTGGCCCCTAATATCAATAAAAATAAAATTTTTAATATAATTTCTAGAATAGGTTACTTTTTTTGAAAAAATATCAAATGAGGGCAAAAATTCTATTCACCTCCTTCCTCCTTCGAACGATTCACGCGAGCAGGACCTTAGAGATCTCATCGCACGGGTCCTGACACACTACCAACAGCACTTGGAGGAGAAATCCAGAGCGGCTCACAGGGACGTGTACCTCGTACTGCCGCCCCCGGGTTCAGCTCCTTAGAGCGGGCCTTGTTCTGGATTGGCGGATTCAGACCCGGACTGGTGTTCCGGCTCGTTGCCAATTCCATTGGGGACCTGTCACAGGACCAAGTGCAGAGGATGGAAACGCTGAGGGCTGAGACAAGTGTGGAGGAGGCAACCGGAGGAGGAACTGGCGAGGCTACAGGAGAGCATGGTGGCGCCACCCCTGTCTGAACTTCTGAGGCGGGGAGGAAGGGCGGTGAACGGGGAGGAGGGGACTGACTTCAAGATTTTGCTGGGGAGTCCAGACATGCTACGAGCAAACACTGCAACCAAAATGATTCAGTTACTAAGACCTGTTCAGACTGTGAGCTTCTTAGCAGCCGCAGTGCAGCTTCAGCTCAGGATTCGAAGGTTGGGTTTTCAAAGAGACGCCGAGCAAGAGGGTAAGTAGAAACCACTAATACCCTCTCTCTCTCTCTCTTCTTCACATCTGAGTTGTTCCAAACTCAGAGCAGAATGGTGAGATGAGAGGGAAACTATGCTCTGCTCTAAGTTTGGAAGAACTCAGATGCAGAGAAGAAGAAGGAGAGAGGTGGGGGAGATCGGAGGTGGGGAAGGTTTGCCACCGCTTTTCAAAAAAGTTGCCCTTATCGGCAAGAAACCCTTAAAAAAATAAAACACAACCCCCTTACTTTAAGGGGTAGGTGGAAATTTCAAAAGATCATACAGAAACATCATGCTTAGCTACTCGAGTCCAGCAGCTAAAGCTATATCTTTGAGAGCATAGTTTTCAAGGCGCCAAGGCGAGGCCTTTTTGAATGTGAAAAACTGAAAATATAAAACTGTGATGTATTTGTTGCCTTTTTGAATGTCAACCATGAATTGATTACACTGGTTCCCTTCATTCTAGACACTTGGATGAGTGAAAAACTGAAAATATAAAACTGTGATGTATTTGTTGCCTTTTTGAATGTCAACCATGAATTGATTGCACTGGTTCCCTTCATTCTAGACACTTGGACTATAGATCCTACGCTTCATTAATAAGCTTTTGATTGCTATTGCTGAGAAAAAAAATAAAAAAAGCAAGACAAAGGAACTGGACAGGAATTCAAGACAATAAGCAGTAGGGGATTCATTAACAAAAACAGTGCATTAAAATGGAGATTGTCATGAACCAAAAAAGGACATGTGTCTGGATATTACCATGATCAATTATGGGAATTTCTATCTGGCAATAATGAACATCTGACCCACAGGCAGCAAACAGAAGGCTACTAACCAATGGATCCCATTGAAAAGATTTTAGGCCAAAATTAAACGCCTCAGGTGATTATACCCCATCTGACCACTTGAATTGATCCTTCTTACTTTGTTCAAAAGAAAACAAAGAAATTGATTGGATGGTTAGGACTTGGGATCATCCAACTACAACTGAGCATTAACCAAGATCTCAACCAGTAATGGGGTTCAGTACACCTATGACTGATAATGGGCTAGTGGACAGGTTGGCAAAACAGGGGACGGCAAGGAACTCAATGTGTTGCCGTGTTGGGAAGTAATTGAACAAGAAGGGACTTGGTAATTGATGTCACAATCATCATGTATGGTTATGAGGCTGACCATCCAGCCATTCATATGTACATTAGCTCACTTTTAATCAATAAAACAAAATCATTTACTGTTACTGATAAAAGCACAGTACATAGATTCTTCTCTCACGCATGCACACGAACTCCAAACAGGCAATAGAATATCCATGCATGTCGTCCATCCTTTATAATTGCTGAAATATATGTCAGAAGTTCTCAAAAAAATAAAAAATAAAAACACGGATAACCACTAAAAAAGTAACCCAGATATGCACCTTAAGAGATAGTATGCATTGAATGAAATACCACCCAAATGTTAGGACCGTAACCCCTTCCAGGGCCCAGATAACTGGGAGCCTGGGACCAAAACCTTATTCTTATTGTACAACATACCTATTAATGGAAATTCAGAAAAGAGGGTAGAAGAAACCTTGGGGGAGAGAAGACCAGATTTGGAGGAAACTTGGTTGGTGGGGCCCAAACAGCAATTGTTTCTTTAGGGCACCACAATAGTACCCTAAGACCTAGTTATCTCAACTGGATGTCTGAAATTTTAGAGAGCAAATCTTTCAATTTAAAACAGCAGGGGGTTTTTTGTAAATTTCTTTTTTGGGTATAGTTAAACAAATAGTTGTCAAGCCATTGTCTAGGTGACTAGGTAGCCTTGGCTGGGCAGACCAAGCAATAAGGCACCTGCTTAAGCAACAAGTGGGCACACTGCCTTATTATAATATCATTCATATTGCTACATTTTACTAATGTGTATGTCTATATATAAAAATAAATAAATATATATATATATATATTATTTTGTTGTTAAGTTTTACTACTCTCTCTCTCTCACACACACACACATACAAAACAAAATAGAAGCTAATTATTCTTTTTTCTCTTTTACCTTCCATCTTGAATTTTTACCATGTAAAGGTAATTATTTTTGAAAATACTGAAATACTTTATTTAAAATGTTTTCTATCTTTTAGTTTAGATATGATGATTGGGCATATTTTTAGAGGAAATTTAATGTTCTAAATAAAGAAATTTAATTCTTTTCAATTAATATACAACCTGAATGGTATATAAAACTAGTGAACTAACCAAAGGTTAGTTTTTTATTTTGTAAAATTCTCACCATCTGTCATTGCCTAGGGCAAAGAGATTGGGCACCCCCAGTGTCACCCAGAATCACCTAGATTCTTTGACAACTATGGTTAATCAAGTTAGTTTGGCCTGAGCTATTATTGTATAGTTTGTATAAAAACTGGGTTTAGCATTAGTTATACTATTTGATTTTTTGCAATGAAAAAAAGAATATCTAAAGAGATAACAACAAACATTTTTTAAGTCCATTAATTACTTGATCATAAAGTGTCAAGTCTGAGCCCCTGTCACAAACTTACCACAAAGAACTCCATAGAAGGTAATTTGCTACCTGGTTTCACTTGATTGCTTTTAAAACAGAACCGATAGCAAGGTGCCATGATGGGCTGACAAATTTCGTAAAGAAGGATGTCACATGAATGAGTTTTGGAACCATATTTAGAAGCACAATAACCTTTGCTTTTCTATTTGGTAAATGACAAAAATAAATTGCATTGAAATATATGCACCCATCTAGAATTAATCAAATAAATGACTTGCACACATATTTCTAAACTACTTCAAGTGAATATATGAATTGAGAAGTCAAATTGTTCACCTATTCTGATGTGCCAACAACAAAGTTAATTAAAAGATAATTACAACAGATCAATTCACATTCCTCCAAGTTTGTGGGGCTACTTCTCTATTATTTGCACATCTCTTAAAGTGGTTTCATTGTAGTATTCATCAATAAAAAAGATTGAAATACCACAACCAATGCTTCTGATTGTAACAAGTAGTCCCCACATGTGACAGTCAACAAATGCCAAAGATCCTTCACCTATCAATGCCATAGTAAGCACCTAAAACCGAAGTTATAGATGAAAAATCCCAGAACAACATGGTTCAAACTTCTGGCTGAATTATCCATCACATCCAAATATTCAGACCTCTTGCTTCATATAAAAATGTCAACCAAGAATTCAAAGTTCAGCTTCCAAGAATGTCATGATGCAAGAACAAGAATACTGAAGCTGCTTTCAGCTGCCTTCCTCTCAAACAAATCACAATCCTCTGAACCCATGAGGAACAATCTGAGATAACCCTAAGCCCTGGACCGCCTGAACTCAAACCAAATCTCATAATGGTTGAAGAGCAGACTATCATGGAAGTGTTTACCCATATACTCGAGTCCTAGACTTGTTAACCGCTTTGTACATTCCTCTCCACCCAACCGTGAACAGAATTTTATATTATGAGAGACAAAAATCCGTCCATCAAAAGGTTTCAACCTGGTAGCTAACCTCTCTAGTCCTACCCAAACCAGCTTGTCGGGCATATGAAGAAAAACAGCACTAGCATATATAAGATCATACTGAATACCAGATCCAAACCTACTGAAATCCATGTCCTCGCCTCTCACAATTAAAGGACGCTTATGCAATAAACCCTGAGATGGAAGCTCGTACCTGTATGCAGACATCAAAGAAAGCTCATCCCTTTCTAGACAATGGTAATGCTCCGGAATCAGGTATCGAATAAAATGCAATCCAACACGAAGAGTGCCACATCCAATCTCAAGCACCCGGGCATCAAGCCTGAGCTTAATGGACTCTGCGAGGAACTCAAACACATCGCGACCTCCAGCCCAGGGTTCCCCATAGTTGCTGTGGTGTTCCTCTACGAGCAATTCCCCGGGGCAAGGCAGGGTAGTGTGGTTGTTAGCTTCCTCTCCCTCATAGTGGGATATGCCCTTGTATCTGAACAATGGCAAAGTTAACCCCAGGTCTCAACAACTACAGGGGGAGAAACAAATAAACGAAAGAAAAACTTAAATTAACTAAAGCTCTTGATTTTCAGTATCTGGAAAATTAATTAAGCATAAACCTCAAGCAAACCGTTGAAAAAAAAGTACTAAACTAATAAGAGCGTCTCCTAAAATAACGAAAAAATTGGTACTACATAAAACTTCCTTAAATTCGAAAACTGAATATATAATTCCTAGATCTCAATCAAGAATTGCGAAAAACCAAATTTCAATGCAATTTAGAAAAGGATTATAAGTTTAAGATCTTATGCACAAATTGAGAAAATACCCTCATTTTGTTTACTCCGTTTGGGGGTCGAGATGATAGTTCAATTTAAACGTCAATTTATTACTACAACCTTGAGGTCAGGTCACAGATTCGTTTCCGATTTGTTCTTCACTAAGAAATGTAAAATAATTAATTTGAAATATAAGCAGCTAGAGAGAGAGAGAGAGAGTACTGAATTAAATCTTGGAGCTGTTGGGCACGAGTGCGAGGGTTGATGCCCTTGCGGAGAACATTTGGTTGCATTGCAAGTTTGTTCTGTTGGATCTGATCTTTCACCCAAGCAATGTCTTCTTTTGTTGCAGAGATTTGATAGTTAGATCGGTCGAAGGCTTGACGGCTGTCAGCGGTGGAAGTGATTGTGGTGGTGGTGGTGGAGGGAGTGGTGGAGGGAGTGGCGGAGATCGTGGAAGGAGCGGCGGGGCAGGAGGAGAGGAAAGGAATGAGGAAGAAGAGGAGAATGGCTGTTGCTGCAACTGATAGTGCTAGAACTGGAACTGTAACAACCACACCCTTCGACGGAGCCATTGCTGATTTGCTGTTTTCTTTTCCTGAAATTTGAGTTCTCTTTTGATCCCAAACGGAGCACGGGTTTGGAAATTGGCAGCTTGGCACTCAGAAGTCAGAACTCAGAAGGAGGATTGATGAGGAAATTTTGGTCATTTTGAAGAAGAGTGTGGCCCCAGATCAGAGCCGCACCTCATTCCACCTCACAGGCACATCCAACCATCTATCGGAAACATCTCTCGTAATTCTATCTTATTATTGATGGGAGATGTTCGCAATACACGGTAAGATGTGCTTGTGATGTTGGTGTGAAATACGGTATGTGAGGAACAGATTCCAATTCTTTAGATCAATCTCTACATTTTGGCTTCACCTCAAATTGATATCTACTCCTCACCTACATCTTATCATTTATTGGGAACATCTCCTCATAAATAATATATACAAGTTAAAGATGCTCCCTCAACGAGTTTGAATCACTTGTCAATAATATGCATTCCACCAATCTATCAACATCATCTGATGCCGTATATCTCATACATGGCGGGTTTCATTTTTATGATGGGTCCCAATCTCATGGTGAGATGTGCAGTGTTAAATAAAGTTGGTATAGATTGGAACGTGTTTTGTTGGCAGGTAATCCGGACTCGGTGACAACACTCTCACTTCCAATGATGTCACCGTATTGGGCCAAGCTCCTTTTCCGATCAAATCAGCCCAAACCCAGTTCAATATCCAGACTTGTCTACTTTCTAGACCATGGTTTTCAAAACTGGACTGAACCAGACTGTCGGACCAGAAAAACCAATAACCGTTCAGCCCCCTAGGTCCGGTTATACTATAAATCGTTTAATCTTTAAAACCCGTTGAAAAAGTCAGAAAAGTGCTAACCTGGGCGATCGAACCGCTAAACCGTTTGACTCAGGCAGCGGTTCGCGGGTTATAATTTTTATTTTCACGGATTTAAATAAAAAAAAACAAAAAACAAAATGACACCCATATCCCCAATCCCATCTCTTACGTTTAGGGTTAGAACGACCCCATTTTCATTCTAACCCTTCCCTCCTCTCAGCTGCCACACCCAACCGATCACCTGCAGCGGCCACAACCTACAGCGTCCGATGGCAATATACAACGACCGACGGCGATTCACGGTAACCAGCGACAGCGGTGAGCTTCATCTACAGCGGCCAACGTTGATTTTACAGCAGATCCAGCCGTAACAATTGTGGGTTGTGGTAGTAGCAGGTCCGGTGACCGACTTGCAGCGGCGGTGGATGATTTTGCAGCGGCAATTTTGCAACCTTACTGATGAAGCACGATCTGACTGCTCCCTGTTGGAGGTGACCTGGCTTCCAATAACGGTGGACTAGGTCGATCTACAAAAGAAGAATCAGAGAACTCAGGGTTGTTTGCCTGGCTAGAGAGCAGAGAAATCACACATACCGTGGGCCTCCGGGGGTAGAGCCGTTATATAGTGGAGTCCTCGCTGGTTTCGCGGAGCAGTTCCGGGATCCTCGTCACGATGAGATCCGTTTTTGCGTTAATGGGGGATAACTGATAGGGCTTATCAATTCTGATCGAAACGGGCAGAGAGGAGATAAGGCTTACCGTTACGAGGCGTGATCCCGCGAGGCTCGGAATTTGACGGCGAGATCTTTGGGGTTGCCATGTAGTGGTCTGTCAGTATTACACGAGCTAGTGCTCTTTAGATCCGACTCGGGTGAACACCGAAGTGCCTTGGGACCGAGGTGGTCCTGATGCGACCTTACACTAAGGTGAACTCATCCACTTACACCAAGGTGAACTCGTTCCGAGGTGGTTTGACTATCCAAACTCGATCTGTTGCGGACTTGGCATGTCGGGCTGAGCTGTCATCTTACTAGTTAGGTTGTGTCCACGTGTCCCCCTATTACTAGGTCGGGCCAAATCACCCTTCATCAATTGCCCCCCACTCCCCAAGCCGGGGGTCCCAACCCGGTGCGGGGAGTTCACGACGGGTCCAAGTGGATTTGGCACGAGGCCTAGGCGGTTTGTCGAGCGGATCAGTCGATTGGACCTGTTTGAACTTCCGGTTTAACCAGCAATAGCCCAGGTTGCGTCAGGTGTACGCGTGGACGTCACGCTATTTATGGACTCCACGGATGTCAAAAATGGGCTCAATCGATTTCATCCTCGGTCGTCGTGCAATCGGTTTTCACGTGAACCGTTATATCAAGTAGGTCACAGCCGTTGATCGCCTCGCGGAGAGCTATAAATAGGGGGTCGAGGGGCCCTTCTTCCTCGCCAAAAGTTGTAATTGAGCTCTCTCTGAGGTCGCGTTGGAGTCTTTCAGCTCGCTACTTCCTTCTTTGTATTCCGAGGTCGTCCTTCTCTTGGTGAGTTCGTGTTTTCCTTAGTTTGTTCTCCTTTGTTTTTTAATCATGTCTAGCTCTAGTCTAGATAGGCTCTTAGGTGACTCTAGTGAGGTCGAGGGTGCCGAGGTGCAGTCCGCGGCCCTTGCTAGGGAGGTCAGCTCGTCGCTGGGCGACTTCCCTCTATGGTCTTTAGAGGAAACTTCTGTTCCTGAAGTTGGGCCATCTCGGCCTGGGGACCCGAGGCTTGGGAGGAAGGACCGACCTCTAGAGCGGAGGTCCCATCTTCTTCCCGGGGTCGGGATCCGGACAACTTCGGTCCTTCTACCTTGACCTCGGATAGGTTAATGTATTTAGTAGCTCGCTATTGTCTTCCCGATAGCTTAGTCTTTAGTGTTCCTCTAGGTCAGTATCCTTGGGCTCACGATCCTAATGAGCTCGCGGTTTTTTAGGAGTAGCTCGCTGTCGGGCTGCGCTTCCCGCTCCACCCCTTCATTATAGAGATAGTCAAGTTTTTTAATATCACCATCGACCAACTACACCCGAACTCTATCCGGAACATAGTAGGTACTATCTCCTTGTTCCATGAGTACAACCGACCTCTGTCCCTAGACGTCTTCAGTTCGATCTGTTCGATAAAAAAGAATTCCACTTGTCTGCACGGGGACGTCAGACAAAGTTACTACATCTCTCCTCGGCCCGGGTTTAAAATCCCGTTCGGCAGCCCGAACAAGGTTCCGGCCTGGAAGAGGAGGTACTTCCTTGTCCGGAATCTTGAGGGATGGTCTTTTCCAACTCACTGGAGGGTGGCTATCAAGGATCCCGGGGTGACCTTAGATGCGGAGACTATGGCAGTTATCAACTCTTGGAGGGACCTCGGCCTGGAGATGAAAAATTTCTTGGCCAAGGAGAAGCTTGTGCGAGCTGGACTGAGCCCTCCTGGTAGGTCTCCACCTCGGTTTTTATTTTAACGTTTTCTTTAGTTCGCGGCTAACCTTTTCTCTTACTCTTGTAGTTACCATGCCGGAGGTCAATGGTAAGGACCTTCTCAAGAGCTTTCAGAGAGGGAAGAAGAGGAAGGCTTCGAAGAAGTCTCGTTGGGAGGCAGGTCCTTCTGCCCTTGCCCCATCCGAAGTCCATGCTCCAGAGCCAATTTCTGCCGAGCTCCCTGAGGAGGAGGTCCGCCCTCAACCCCCCATAGTGGACCTGGACGAAGACCAAGAGGAAGGCGTCCAGCCTCATGAGCCGGAAAGCACTTCCGCACCCAAGCCTGAGTCCCCCAAAGAAAGCATAATGACCCCTCGGCTTGGACTACTTAAGAGCAAGGATGCCATTTTTCCTGCCGAGGTTGCGGAATGGGCTAACATGCCCACAAGCCAGCTCGGAGGCCGGGTTGCCAGCTACTGCATGGTGGTAAGTATCTTACTTTACATTTTATTTCCTTGTCAACCTTTCAAACGTACATACCTTGGTTTTCTTTACTAGGTGAACTCCGTCATTCATTCGTTGATCTACCAGTCTGAGGTCTGCCTGAAGAAAGCTCGGGAAGCTGAGGAGAAGGTGCGGAAACTTTACCGCGAGCTATACATAGCTCGGGGCGAGGTTCTTCGGGCCAAGAAGGGAGCTCGAAGCCAACAGAAGCTGATCTTGGCCATGACCGAGGAGAAGCCGAAGCAACAAGAGCTGATCTTAGCAATGACCGAGGAGAAGCCGAAGCTTCAACGAGAGATCGAGAATCTCGAAGAAATGATCCGAGAGCAAACTGAGATCTTCGAGACTGCCATCCAATAGGCGCGAGCTGAAGAAAGAAGCCACGCCATCGACCACTTCAAGGAATCCTCGGAGTTCTACGATCTCCAGGTCGAATATGGACCGAGCTCCTACCGTTCTGGCTTCAAGCTGTGCAAGTATCTAATGCAGCAGAAATTCCCCGATCTTGACCTCAGAGTCGTCTCTATGTCTGACCTTACTCTCGAGGTGGCAGAGGCGATGAACGGAGAGCCCGACTCTTCTAAAGAAGAAAGTGATGACGAAGTGCTAGAGGACGCGAAGGAGCATATGGAGACCGACCTGCCTGGCAGTCCGCATGCATGATCCCTGCTTTTTCTTCTTTTTACTGTTTGGATGTACACCTTGAGGCCACCTAGTTCGGGTTATAATGAGATCTTTGTACTTAAAATCTTTTCATCAATGAAATAGAAACTTTTTTGACTAATCCTTGTGCAAAAATATTCTAAGTGTAAATGACTCCCAATCTGGCGAATTGAACCAGACAGTGGTAGGAGTAGGTGTATAGGTTACCCCGAATTGTCGAGCTACCGAGCTGGACAACAAGTAAGGATAACCAAAAATAAAATTTTTCTAAGTGGAGGTCACCCCGAACTGTCTACCCGGACTACTAGTAAGTGTAACTTAACGTAATGTATGCCAAGGTGAGCGACATTGCAGGGAATATACCCGACCTGTCCCGCACGGGCTACTCATTTAGATGCCAGTTGTCCCTAACAGGCCCAACCTATTGTTATATGCCGAAGTGGGCTAGACATCATAGGGCTTATACCCGAGCTGTCTATGCCTTAGGCATTAGAGGTACTTTAACTATGCCGAAGAAAAGACTAGGAGTTATCTGCCCATGTCGAGGAGGTGACTGGGATTTGTTCGCCCATGCCGAAGAGGTGACTGGGACTTGTTCGCCCATGCCGAAGAGGGAACTGAGACTTGTTCGCCCATGCCGAAGAGGTGAATGGATCTTATGTGGTTCC